AGGAACGACTTAGGGTGCTGGGGATGTTTAGCCTGGAGAAGAGAAGGTGAAGAGGTGATACGATACCCTTGTTTAAATATTTAAAGGGTTGTTATATTGAGGAAGGAACAAGCTTGTTTTCTGCCGCCCCAGAAACTAGGACCCGGAACAGTGGATGCAAGCTCCAGGAAAAGAGATTCCACCTCAACATTAGGAGGAACTTCCTGACAGTAAGGGCGGTTCGACAGTGGAACACACTCCCTCGGAGAGTAGTGGATTCTCCTTCCTTGGAGGTCTTTAAGCAGAGGCTGGATGGCCATCTGTCGGGGATGCTTTGATTGGGAGTTCCTGCATGGCAGGGTGTTGGACTGGATGGCCCTTGTGGTCTCTTCCAACTCTATGATTCTATGATTCTATGAGATCTCATCTAGCAGGCCATTTCATAATATGGGAGTGGTTGCTGAAAAGATTCTCTGGACAGTTGCAGACAGTCTAGTTTTTATACACTGCAGCAGATTCCTCCCAGAGGACCTAGGTGTGCAGGGTGGATTATATGGGAGGAGGTGGTCCTGAAGACAGGTTGGACCCAAGCCATTTAGGGCTTTAAAGGTGATAACCAACACCTTGTACTGAGCCCGGAAACTAATGGGCAGCCAGTGAAGTGATCTTAAGATTGGTGTTATGTGGTCTCTTCTCGTTGTTCCTGAGACCAGAATGTCTACCATATTCTGTACTACTTGAAGTGTCCAGACCAAGTATGAGGGTAGCTCCATGTAGAGCGCATTACAGAAATCGAGATGAGAGATTACCAGTACATGCACCACAGTTTCAAGGTCCCCAACCTCCAGGAAAGGGCGCAGCTGGCATATCAGGCAAAGCTGATAACAGGCACTCCTGACTGTCACATTTACCTGATTTATCATCTGAAGCGATGAATCCAGGAGCACCCCCAGACTGCGAACATAATCCTTTGAGGAGAGTGTGACCCCATCTAGGACTGGGAGTTGTATCCCCATACCTGGGTTCAGGGCTGCCACTGTAAGTACCTCCGTTTTGTCTGGATTCAGTCTCGATCTGTTTTTCCTCCTCCAGGATTGCTTTAAGACAATCATTCAAAGGAGAGATGCCATCTGAAGTCAAAGCTGAAGACCGAGACATGGAGAAATATATCTGGATGTCATCAGCGTACTGATAACACCCCGCCCCATGTCTCTGGATGATCTCTCCCAGCAGCTTCATATATATGAGGGACGCCACAATTAAGCTCTTTCTTTGCAGAGCAGCTGTCCCTGAGCATCACCCTCTGGGATCTGCCCGAGGGGAAGGAACGGAACCATTGCAGTGCAGTGCCTCCATTCCTAACCTTCTCAGGAGATCCAAGAGGATGTCATAATCTATTGTATCAAAGGCTGCTGAGAGGTCCAGTAGCACCAACAGGGTCATGCTACCCCTGTCAATGCCCAGACGAAGGTCATCAGCTAAGGTGACCATGGCAGTCTCAACTCTATATCCTGTCCTAAAGCCAGTTTGAAATGGATCTAGATAATCGGTTTCTTCCAAGACAGCTTAGAGTTGAAGAGCAACAGCCCTCTCAATCTCTTTGCTCAGAAAAGGTAGTAAAGAAACTGGCCTATAGCTGTTCATGGGTAACTCCAACAGCAACTCAGAGATCAGCTGCGTCAGCTCAGTTAGGGAGTCTGTTAGACAACGGGGTGGATGGTATACTAACAGAATCCCCAAACTATTAGTCCTCAGGTACATACACTCGAAGCGGACTGTTTTCCGGACAGGTATCCTGGTCAAGGTGAGATTGTTCTTATGAACCAAGGCCACTTCCCCTTACCTGCTCACTGACAGGGCCTGCTGGGAGGGCCTG